TATTTAAAAGCAATAGCTATTGACAGGGGCTTTTCACCCAACATTATTAATCAAGCAGTTAAAAAATTCTCATCTCAACACACTAAAAGCCACACTCTTATTTTAGGAGATTATAAAAAATTTGTGTCATTCCCTTCTTTCCATCAATTAGCTATAAAGTTGCACATATTTTGCCGAAATTTAAACTTTCGGGTTGTTTCGCTCCCATCAATAAAATTCCAACTTCTATACTCAAGGACCCCATTCCGGATATGAATTCCTGGGGTATTTATAGGATTCCTTGCCAGTGTGGTTTAATTTACATTGGCCAAACTAAGAGAGCCTTAAAATTTTGCGTCAAAGAACATGAGGCATATGTTAGAAAAAAGGAAACACAGAAGTCTTCTGTGCTCAACATTGTTGGTCCGAAAATCACACTTTCAATTTTTCTGCTGCCAAAATTATTCAATAAACATCTTCCATTGGAGAACTGGATTTTCTAGAGGCATTTCACATTCATAAAAATCTTTCTGTTCTAGTTAACGATCCTAATTCCAATCCAAATTTGCCTTCGGCTTTTAGAGAAATTATGTTTTAGTTCTGGTTTCGCCAACAGATGGCGCCACTTGCTTATTCTTGTCCAGGCTTTCTTATTTTATCTAAACATTATTTCCTATCTTGTTCATTTGCAGTTTTGCAGCTGAAGTTGATGGTTCGGTAAAACCATCGAAACTAGTCCTGTGAAAATTTTGTAAATATAACGCTGATTTTTGTTGTTTGACTTCTGAATTAGTATTTATTCGGCGTGTTATTATGTCTTAATTACTTCCTCTGGAAGTTAAAGAAAGAACAGTTAATTTTGGAAAATATAACCTGTAAATGAATGTTTTTGGAATTAATCAACTAATTTTTAACTTATAAGTTAAAACTTTAAAACTCTTAATAAATTTTTACTTTTGATATGAATGTATTCTTCTTGAGCAATGTTATTTTTGTAGAATTTTCTGCTGGAATTTTACAGGATCCTTTATTCAGCAATGATAGACCACAGTAAGTTACTATTGTGACATGCATATATTTTATCAATTGTAACTGCTTTCTTTTACTATACCGTAATTTATTAGCTTCCTAAAAGGTTAGAAATGATTAATATTGATTCTTAACTTCATTCCAGATATTTGAACTTTCCTGCCATAGGCAACGTAATTGGTCATGAAATTGTACATGGATTTGATGACTTAGGTGACCTTTTTTAAAGTTTTCATCTTATAATCTCTCTAGTATGGCTAATAATTCTCTGAAAAATACATTACATAATGATGTTGCAAAATTCCCTACATTTAAAAGAATTTAGTACACGTATGTTTACTTAAACAAAGTAATCATACACGTGTATTGCAGGTACGCTCACCAATTTATAAACTTCTCTCTGAAGATTGCAAAGTATTACTCTTCATATGTGTTGCTTTCTTCTTCTTGATTCTGCCTCGACGTTTCGTAATGGTTGTCTCCGAAAAGTCAAATGCACTTTTGTTAGCAAAATGCTAAAAAAAATGCAGTGCACTGAAACTGTAAATACTGGAGCAGAAAAACCGTATCCCTTCAGAGAATTAAACAGGGAATTATTCATAGTCATGGTTATCCAGAATAACTATTAAAATAATTAGGGAGAGCAGAAGTAAACATAAAGCATCATTTTAATATGGATGAAACCTACGCGGTCATAAAGAATAACTTCTAAAATTTCAAATGATATTAATTTAATAAACCAAATTCATAAAGTTACAAAACATGCTATTACATTTTTTTGAATTAGAAATTAGTAAATTCTCTAGTAATTGTCCTTTTAGATTCATATCGAATATAGATATACTTCAGAAGTCAAACAACAAAAATCAGCGTTATATTTACAAAAATTTTCACAGGACTAATTTCGATGGTTTTACCGAACCACCATCTTCAGCTGCAAAACCGCAAATGAACCAGATAGGAAATAATGATTAGATAAGATAAGATTTTCTAGAGGCATTTCACATTCATAAAAAATCTTTCTGTTCTAGTTAACGATCCTAATTCCAATCCAAATTTGCCTTCCGCCTTTAAAGAAATTATGTTTTAGTTCTGGTTTCACCAACAGATGGCGCCACTTGCTTATTCTTGTCCAGGCTTTCTTATCTTATCTAATCATTATTTCCTATCTGGTTCATTTGTGGTTTTGCAGCTGAAGATGGTTTGGTAAAACCATCGAAACTAGTCCTGTGAAAATTTTGTAAATATAACGCTGATTTTTGTTGTTTGACTTCTGAATTAGTATTTATTCGGCGTGTTATTGTGTCTTAATTATAGATATACTTAATTATGGAAATCTGAAAGTTCAGTTACTTGCAATTTTATAAGAATTAAATATTTTAACTGCGGACCCATATTTTATTTGCCGAATGAAAACTAAATTTCCTATACAGCAAAGCATAAAGGAATAATATTTAATTATTACGTTCGAGTATACCGTTAGCAACTGAGTTAGAAACAAATCATCATACTATGTAAAAAGTGCGAGTGAAATTGCATGATGAATGTGTGGTTGAATTTCGAAGTTCACGGGCATTTAACGTTTCAAGAAGCAGTTACAATGCAAGTAGAAATTTACCAGTTTTTTCTCTATTTTCCTCCTGTGTCTCAGATGAAGGCTTATCCGCAAGTAGTTTTGTTTCAGGAGTACTTCTGAAATGTCTAATTAACCCATTAGTAATATGCTTTGTGATCAGGGTATTGCAAAGAAAATTAGGCCTACATTCTAAACTGAAAATAATTCAGCATTCGTTTTTGCATATTTTAAATTATTTAAATTATTAAAGAAATGGAATCTCCAAACTAACATAGCCATCTTATATTTTTTTTTTTTTTTTTTTTTTTTTTTTTTTGTCAAAAGCGGAAGGAAACTAAAACTAGTAAAAATTCTATAATTCAAGAATGTTTCTTAAATACGAGAAGCGTAATTTTACTCCAGAATAGTAATAGAAATCCAGTTAGGAGCAAGTATTATAATTTATGAATTTGTTAATCAAAGTTCATTGACTTCGTTTTACAACAAAGTTCTTTTGAATCTAGAGAACAGAAATAATTCAAACATTTTCGCGTTACAAATTACAATGGAAACATCTTAAATGATAATCGCAAAAGAAAAACATCGACACTTTAGTGAAATGCGTGATGTGAAGGGCATTTGCTAAGGGCTTTAAATGCAGAATATTTCTCAGTATTTTTCTCTGGTGTGCGCGTCCGTGTGTAGATGCTTTGAAAATAATAAGAAAACATACTTATTGCAAAATGGGCTTCAAATGCTTTACCGGCAAATAGCTTTTGATCTAAATCACTTACAAATAGATACAACGCAGCAAACTCTGTAAATTTCTTATTCTGATTTTAATATCAAGTTGCTTAATAAACATTATGTTTTCCCAATATTAATCAGAATTAATCAGAATAGCAGTAATTATAATTATAATGCATGAATACGATTTAGGATGCATTTTTCAAGCAAAATATAAAATATGGCATTAAAAAAGTCCTTTCTATACTGATGATAATATTACAGGTCGACAGTTTGATAAAAATGGTAACAATATTAACTGGTGGGACCAGGAAACAGACAAGAGTTTCAGACAAAAAGCTCAGTGTATCATAGACCAATACAACAATTATACTGTTGGAAATGGAGTAAAGGTAAAATGCATTTAATGCTTTCTCCATCGTATGAAATGTACAGGGTTTCTACAATGATTCATTGTGATTTGAATTCAAGTTAACAGTATCAGGCGTGTTTAATATTTGAATAACTAAAAAAAAGGTTTTATTCTTAAAATCAAATTCGTATATGTTAGCGTTTTTGTGTCACATATTATTTTAGATACGATCTTTTTTTCAAATTAGCAAAGTTATAGCAGAAAGAATTTTGTGCTCTAGAACAAGCAGGCCATTATTCGTTGTTTCCTCCAAACGTGTGATCTGAAATTTAACCGAGCTGCAACAATAATAGTATCGATAGTTAAACCCTTTAGGTCCAAGCATTAAGAGCTCTGAGCATTGCTAGTGCAATACAAATCCAAATCTCGACGAGGGAGCTACATGCGTAATAAAATTCCAGGCCTTCTCCATATGTAATACGAACCAGTTATGACTTTCAAGACTTTTACGAAATAAGGAAGCCGTAAAAAGTATTTTTCAGGAGTATTGTCTACATATACAATGTTCACCATTGAAATTCCTGGAAAGGCATGGGATAATATCCAGGATTAGTTGTATTAAATCGGGCAGATATGTGCATCTGCCTTATATTATTTAATACTGGATTTAATTTTTAAGATAGTATAAACAGGTGTTAGTATTCAGATGTAGTAAGCAGGTGCAGCAAGCATTTGAGTGAAAACTTTGATGTATTACATAGTGATCGAAATTCAGAACGGGAAGTTAGAACATTGCTTTTACATCAAATATATCCGTTCTAACAGTATAAGAAGATAACAAAAAGTCAATAAGATGTGCAACATTTTAAAAGAATGTTACATGCGTTGTAGTCCTATTGAAGATTAAATGTGGATATGATATTTCGCGAATTAATAAATTTGATAAATAGACTACCTTTAGCTGAAAAACTGGATAAGAAAAAACTTCATGTGTAATTTATTCTTTTCGTCTCAAAACTTCAAAGTTTCCCTCTTGTAATAGTTTTCTCGCATCACTTTGATCATTTTGCTTTTTCTCTTGGTTTAGCTACTAATTTAAAGACGGTCTGAAATGATTTCTAATAAAATTGATATCTAGCACTCAGTGACTGAGTTCTTCGAGTATATTCCATGATATTAGTTCGAAATTTGCATTCTGAAAATAGACTGAATAGGAAATATTTCGAAAGTAGTATGTAAGATAAAAAGATATTTAAAAAAAAGATATTTTAAGATTTTAAGATTATTTAAGATTTTAAGATATAAAAATCTGGCGTGTCTACCACATGACTTCCCTGTACAAAATATTACATTATACGCATTTTTTCTTGCATTTCATTTAAACTTATAGGATTTAATTAAACTTACTTTGTCGATGGCGTATAAACCACAATAGAATAAATGCACTCTTTAAAATTCACTATATTTGTTTACCATAGGGACACTCTGGTTGACACAACAGCGTCACATTTCATTCATTTTTTAGCATAATCATAATATTCTCTGGTATACTGGTACATAATCACATTAGGATTTTAACCAGTTCGTTTTGCATATGCTTTAGGCCAATTGCGTATAAAATTGCGTATGTAAATAAATCAAGGTGCGAAAGCACCCACTCGAAGGCGAAGATTCTACGCCGTGGAAGTCAAGGTCAAGGTTTCGTGGAAACAATTAAGTTGCACGAGGATCATTTTTTAACTCAGAATGCACAAAATATATATCATCTTAAGAATTATCTAATCGGTGCCACATGTTCTATTCAAATACTATAATAAATCTAAAACGACGTATAAAAGAAATTAAGCAAAGAACAACAAAAAAGAAACAGTTTTTCACAGACGATTCAACATTTCTCATTCAATTAATTCAGTTCTCACTTTGCGACAAGGCAAAAATACATTAAAACTCGAGATGTCTGTATTGCAAATTATGAAGTAAATCTTAAACACTTATTTCTTTGTAAAAATTCCAGAATGGATTAAGCATGATTTAATTCGCAATAATAAAAGAAGGCGTTAGCTTTGCTATTACGAAACTTACTTTCTCTAGATTGGCAACAAATCTACTATTCTGCTGTTTCAAATGTAAATAAGCAATGGACACCATGGAAAAAATTATTTAGTGGCATTTAAGCGGTCAAAATGGGTATTTTCGTTGAAATATGATACCTGAAATTTTTCGCTATTGCAATACTTTCTTTTTACTTTATGTACAAGGAAATAAAAAAGATATTTTAAATGTAACCCTATCTACTAATACTATATGATTAACTCTACAGATGTACTTTAAAAATTCAATCTACATGTGGATTTTGGAATTTTCTAAAAATTGTTAAAACGAGCTTGGTAGAAATGAAAGGAAATGTATTGTAGCATTAAACCTGTCTTTTCCTTTTCGTATTTTTGAATGAAATAGCCTTAAGATGAAACTATTTTTATGTCCGCACAGTAGGCAGGGATGTATCTATATGATGGAACAGAAACAAACATATTTCATATTTGTAATTGATAAGACTGCCCGTAATTGATAGGAAAGAGTGAACGCACACATAATTGTAAAAAGAAAGTTTATCTTCTTTAACTCCTGTTTTTACATCCCCATTGATTATTAAAGTAAATTTTGAGTATTTATTGAAGCAATGTTTTCTTTGTAGATAAATGGCGTTCACACCCTAGGAGAAAATATGGCTGACATTGGTGGTATGAAAGTCGCTTATAAGGTAAAAAAAAATTAAATTTTAAGTAACCATAAAATATGATTAATATTTCAAACATACAAATTTATGCAATAAACTTTATAATTTACATACGATAGACAAGATTACTACGATAAATGTAATGGATGTATTTGAAATCTTTTTAACAAAGTGAAGTAAAAAATTATTGCATCAGTTTTTTACCTTGTTGCTGTCTCTATACGAAACATTAATTTATTATTTTTTTACTACATCATCAGTATTACCAACTGATCAAGCTGAATGACTGCAATGAAGTGTAAGTTAATTTAATTGAAAGAAAAATACGCCAAAGTTAGTGTTAAAACTTTATTGGTTTAAATCCAAAAAACATTGTTTTCATTTTCAAATTCAAATTCAATTGAAATCATGCACAATATGCAAATTACCACATCAGTTACATTTTTAAACGGAGAAAAATTATGTATAAAATTTAGTAAAGTCTGATAAATTTATACAGTCTTTTCAAACTGTTGAACACATGAATACAGTTATTATAGACTGTGCTTGAACATAAACTTATTATAACATTATTTCTCCCTCAAGATTGGTACCATCACCAACATAATAAAAGTGTATCAGCTAAACGCTATGACCTATAACCCCATACGAAAAATTTTAGGAATAAGAGTAAAATTAAAACTATACTTATGACTGTTTTTACGAATTAAATGTAAATATTATGCATACTCACCTCATTAAAATAAGAAACGCTCTTCAAAAATTAGAAAAACATAGCAACAATGTTATCAAAAATTACGGATTCTGTGTATTTATTGACATCTTCCGTAAATTATTATCATTACTTACATTTAGTGAAAATTTACCGTTATTGACACGTCATTTTATGTGCTCGGCCTCTCGTTTATTGAACATCTTGAAACCACTTACCACTTTCTTAAAATTGCTAAACCTTGTAAATCGGTATTTCAGCCACCATCTTGGAACGGTTTCATCGATACTTTATACAGGCAAATAAACGTTTTGAAAATTTTAATATGAATCATATGCATTGTGATACCTCACTGGCTTATTTGAGAAAAGACCTCTATTCCCAGAACAAGGCAGGTTCTGACTAAATTACAAAAAATGTTATACCTAAAGGTAGAACAGCTGTTTTTAAATTTTAATTCAAAGTGCGAAAGATAAGCAAGTGTCACACGTTGTTGTACACTCATGAAATGTGTAAAATATTCCGTAACTCAACATTAATCAAAAACTGAATTTTGCTTAATTTTAAAATTTGGATTGGAGCGCTGTTCATGCAATTAATATTAGTGCACAATGGAATGTATTCTCTTTTCTTTAAATACTCATTTCGTATGAATCAGAAATAATTATAATTCTAAACTAAGTACATTATTATCACAAATATTCTCTAAAATTAATAATATTGCTTTAAATTATGTACAACTACTGGAAATATATTTGCAGCTTCTACTTAAATGTGACATTTAGATAATTCATTCAGATAACCATCAGCTTTACGTCAAAATTCTTTTTCCAGTTTCATGGAATAATGTATTGATTTATGTTGTATTTTGCCTCCTAATTTTCTATAGGCCTATCAGTCGTGGGCAAGCGATTATGGAATCGAGCCAAGTTTACCGGGGTTGAATTACACCCCAAAACAGCTGTTTTGGATAAGTGCAGCAAATGTAAGTATGTGTGTTTCATGTTACCAGCTAAAGAATAATACTAACAATGGATACTCATTGATTAAAAAATATACTAATATAGTACGACGTAAAATAAATTACAATATTTTGAAGATAACAAAACAAAAGCTACAAAATAGTTGCATAAATTTATATTCCTGTTCCCCGTAGTGCAGAGTAATGTAAGAACAAATTTCTCAGCAAGTTTTCACTTTTGCGTTATTTCAAGCTCTTGTGAATTTAAGTCTCATATTTTATTTTACCTAATTTTGCGCTCTTAACCTTTTGCTGAATATGAGGATATTTTCTTAATACCCGGAAGACTACCAAATTGCGAATGACGACATTTTTCGTTATTGAAATTAAGCGTATTTTGTTGATCGCATTGCGTTTCATGCATTTCTTATATACAGAATCCTGACGTGGTTGTATGGTATCCTACTGTTCACGAGACATGTGCAATCATGTTTTTGATAGCTGGTACATGATCGCTACTAGGGAATAAACGGTCGGTGCCCTGGATTGTCCCCTTGCCCATAGAGAACCGAATTTGGACAATTTGGCTTCATTTTAGTCTGCATTTCAGTATTTTACATATTAGGGATTTCATTAATTGTTATTTTCTTCAAAATATGAATAAAAGTTATTTGTTTAAAAGTATGCCAGATTGTTTCAAGAGGTAACATGCTGCAAATTAATCTTTTAACTTTGAAAATGCTTGGTTTATATATAAGGTATCATAACCCTTTGGTGTGGAAATAAAAAAACAATTTTCTTTTATTGCTTGAGGTGCGATGACATCATTTATCACTGCGGAAAAAAAGTTTCCAGTGTGAAATGAGTTTTACAAAATTTTATTCCTCTGTTAACAGGTTAAAGAACACTGCAGTCTGCCCTCTCTAATGTTCTGAATTAACTAGTTTCTTTATAGAATTTATTTGATTGGTACCGCAAGCATGATCTCCTATTGATCAGATAGTACTTTTACCACTAACTGGCAAAGGCCACTTTTACCTCATACTTTCTTTTCTTTCGCAAATAAACATGTTTTTATTAAAGAGTAAAACCTCTCTATGCATCCTGCTTCTTGAGCAATATATAAGCTGCGACCTCCTGAAGAACACCAGGATAAAAGTAAAGCAACTCATGTATTTTCAGCTTTAGCCGTCCCATATGTGTACTACAACAAGGATTATCACTGTATATACCTCATAGTATTATCTCTAGTCTTCAGCTCAAATTCCATAGAAAGTAAGAATGTTTAAAGTTGTGTTCCTCGATTTCCTATGGTGTAATAGCTATCATTCCGTGATTCCGTGATACTCCCTGCTCAGCGCTGGTAATCAATCGGTTTCAACATTCCAAATGAAAGATTAACGAGCGATTTTATCCATTTGAAAAAAAAGAAAGTTTTCTATTTTTTATGCATGTTTATAATATGGTTATTATATAGTATTTTTATATGTATGTTTATATTTTAAAGCAACAAAAACGGAACATGTACATTGCTTAAAACAATTATTAATTTGGATCTACACGGCAGATGAGGAAATGTTTTGTTGACTAACATATCATGTATAGGTAAGATACGCGAACAGAAAAAGAAGCAACGAACAAAAAATATTTAATTTGTATTGATGATATTTGTCGGTAAAAAAAAAAAAATGCACAATTTTTGCACATTACACTGTAGGGTCCAGGTGGGTTAACGTCTATCTGGATACAAAAGTAGCAGGAAACTACACATAAGAAGGGTTCAAACCCTTTATTAATTCCTTAAAATTGATAATGCGTCAACTCGACGCTTACAAACTTCGCCTCTACTTGGGCGGTAACTGAAAGTCCGATAATTGAAAATTAAAAGTTGAAATGTTTACCAAGGGATAAACTAATTTACAGGGCTCAGCGAGATCCCAAACTTCACCCCCCCCTTATAAGCTAGTGGCAGCAAAGCAATGCAAAATAAGCCACTTGAACGAGCAATAATTAAAAGTACCTACGGCAGAGACGGCAGCTAGCGCCTAACTCTCTAACTTCCCATCCAAAAACTCGGTATTTAAACTTTTCCTACTCAAGGTAGAATTTGCATTCTTCCACGCGCAGGACCAAATTTAACTATTCTGGCACTGACAATTAGGGGAATGAAGGCTTATAGGAAAGTCTTAACTAAAATTTAAACTATTAGTTGAAATAAATACAAATCCCTACAACACAAACAAACAAAAAATATGATTTCTTGGATACAAATGAGTTTAAATAAACTAATCTACAGGGCTTAGCGAGATTCCAAACTTCAACCCATTTCTAAGCTTGTGGCAGCAAAGCAATGCAAATTAAGCCACTTGAACCAGCAATGATCAAAATTACCTACAGCAGAGACAGCGGCTAGCGCCTAACTAATCTGCTACTAACTAATCCAGGGCCGCTAACTAGCTAGGCAGCTAGTGTCCCTGTCCAAAATTAATATCGCACACCAACGAAACATGGAATCAATGATGGACTAGGTATTCTCTCTTAAGTCTTGTAGAAGAGAGCTTTCAAACTGCTGAACTGTTCCTGGGGGTGATAAGCGACTAGCAACTCTTCTCTCTAGAATGTTTCAAACTTGTTCTATTTGGGTTCATATCGGAGGAATATTCATCCGATTAATCCATCTGAAGAATTCCTTTATTGAAAAGTAAATTGTTCATTAACCGAGAACGATGTGTTCTCGTGGATGAATTCATCCATGAGAACGAATTCATCCCCGACTGCTGCAGCGTAAAGAACCACAATAAATCTTAGGATCTCCTCTCCCTTATCGTTGAGCCGTTAATGCTCCATTCCTGAAAATGGGCAAGTCGGTGAGGCCATTGATAGGAATACCGGCCTAGAGCATCTCCCCGCCTCCGCCAAATTGGACACTTTTTATGCGCAAATGCAAGAATATTTCGTGTACTAGGTTTTCTCTAGATGATAAGATTGTACAATAACGTGGGACTCGTCCGTGAAGATCACGTTGCTCCGCTCATCTAGTCCTCATTTGAGATGCTTTTGTGCCCATCTTCTGCAAGCAGCACGGCAGCTCTTTGTCAACGAAATACAAACCAAGATCTGCGAGCATACAAACCTACATGTTGGAGTCTGTTTCGACTAGTTTGAGTTGAAACTCTGGAACCAGTAGCCTCCTGAATATGATGTTGGAAGAAAGTGGAGCTCAAACTGCGGTTTCTTGTGACCGTTAAGTTGCAGGCGTATAACCTTGTTCTGATCTTCGGGAACATTTCCAGTTTTCAGAAACCGACTCCTTAAACTGGGAATAAAATTTAGAGGAACTCCAAACGATTCCGCTACTATGAATTGCCTTTGACCCATTTCTAAACCATTCCTATGGCCCTTCAGGCTGCTACTTCCGCTACGTCATCTTACTAAGACATCGTATTTCCTGTTATAAAATATTCAACGCTTGTGAATTATTTTTAATCCCCTCCTACAGAAGGAATGCTTCAGGTCGCTTTTCACTCATTATCTAAAACGCATAGTTTTCTATGCTACAGACTAAATTAGCATATTTCTAACTTTGTAAACGTTATAATTTTCCTTTTTAACCACTTCTATTTCATTTTTGTTAAAGAAGTAGATTATAATCCAGTAATAATAGCCTTGGATATTAATTGCCATAACCCAATCACGCGCTATGTTCCCTAATGTTGACCGTAATATGCCAGTAATTAATTATACCGATGCTCTGATCAATAGCATAGCTCACACTCATTGCGAGATAAGTTGCACGTGATTATTCAATAATTTTACTAAGAATATACGAAAATCATATGTTGATAATAGTAAACCCATACCGAGGAAAAAAAGGAAAAGAGACCCTCAATAGCATGAACTAATTTGAAAGAAAAATACTGCCTGACGGACATATGAAAGTATTCGATATGTGGCATGAAAAAGAAATTTTGATTAAGCTGCACGGACAAGTTAGAATTCTAAATATTCATGCACAAAACCGCTGGGTTAATTACCTTGAGTTAACTACCAGCGGATAATAATTCTATTTGGATTGGCCCTTCAAAGTTTACATGATGCCACAGTAGAATTCCTCCCCTTAACGTCCCCAGCTGTATCGCCTCCATCGGAACGAGAAATTTGAAGTCAATCATTATGTTCCTGAGTTTCCCAGTAGCAAGATCTCTCACCACACACCGAATAATTTCTCAATTTCATAAATAAGTTCTCAATTAAAAGAAAAACCATGTAAAAATTACACAGTTCTAGCTATACCATGGGGTGTGTTTCTCTATACTGAAAACTACAAGATCTAAAAGAACCCCAAACTATCACCTAGATAGTCAGACTGATAAAATCCGTTATGGTAAATGCTTCATAAAAATCTTCAACGCTATCTAAAACTTGGTTGGAAAAACGATGTTCTGATTTACGTTCTTTGAGGCGCAATATTAAAGGGTATTTCGTGATGGTAAATAACATAATATTACCTTACGCAGCTTTACGTCTAGTTCCTAAATATCTTCCAATTTTTTTAAGCCTAGAACGGGAATATTCAGCTTCAAAGCGGAAGAATGCTGTGCTCTCTTTCAATGGAATTTAAACTCTCACGATTCTCACTGGGAAATTTTGAAAATAGTAGCCGAATGAGTAGTATAGCTGAGTAAAATTTATGTGGAGTTTTATTTCATTAGAAAGGATTTTAAAACATTGTAAGGATATTAGCTTTTGGGTACAGTTTTAAAAATTAGGGCAAAATTCACGATTCCGCAGCGTTATGCCGGCTAATGTTTACCGTAGTAGAATACACGATAATTAATTAGGGCATTTCTTAGACAAGACATAGCTGATTCTTCAAGAATTTTTCTAAACAATAATAACTATGCAAAGCAAAGGTTAATTAAAATAATGAATGAATAACTAATTCATTATGTTTAAAATCTTTCAAATGACAAAATTATATCTGATAAAAATATGTTTGTAATTGATAATATATCTTTATTAATCAGTATGTTGTTGTTGTTGTCTTGTCCATATTATATAGAACAATGTTTCCCAAAGCCTACTCTGAAGAGAGGTTAGACTTCTAATTTTCCACCCCCAATTTTGAGGGAGAGCGTCCCGGGGGAGGGGCTCCGGGGATATCCCATCCCTCTCCTCTTCCACCAATACATGCCTTTGGCTCGCCACATATTTAGAGTACCGCCACGCCGCAACTACACTATATATTTACAAACATCCATGTCATCTCCGAGACTCGACCCGGGGCCCTTCGGAACTGTAGTAGGCTCTCCTAGCCACTCTACCGTCTGGGGGACAGACGGTGAATTAGTATGTAGCGAGGCAATTTAAAATTTATTTTTTAAGACTCTCTGTACTAAGATCAATAACAGCTATGCTTACATTCAATCGTTCTAGGTTATGTGCAGTAAATTCAGACCGGAATTTCTAATGGCATTCAGTACGCTTGGGATAGGAACACCAGCAATGTTTCGGTAAGCATGATAATTTTACTTTTAGAAAGAAAAAGGATTCTTCTTTTACGTTATATATCTGTATAATAACTACATTTGATACTGGTAGAAATAACGTCAAATTATTAAATATGGAAAAGAGAAGAATATAGGATTATGTGAAATTTAGCTAAAATTCTTTAAATTTCATATAATTGTATGATTTTATAAACATTTTTAAACTTCATCCAATATTGCATTACCGTCTCTTTTACACCCACTATTAAAACTGTAATACTTGCAATTTTGCCTTTATGAAATGTGACGAATAAGCCCCATTAGGAAAATTGTTAGTGCGGCGAAATTTGTGGGTAGCAAAAGAGTGATGTACTATATTGTTTTTGAGACTTAATTTAATTCCAAATTTTATTTATTTCAATTTCAGAATTTTACACCATCTCGTCGTAAAATGGTAACAAATTATACTAAATATCGTATTTTAGAAACAAGTATTTCAGTCTTTTTATTGAAAGTGGGAACTTCTTGAGTCTTTAGTTCCTTTTTATGATTACAAACAGCTATATTTATTTATATACTGAGGGTACGTTCTCTCTTTTCTTGCCTTCACTGCCGATTTCTTAAATTTATTTTTGAATTTAATGGCGTGTTTTATATTTCTAGGCTCACAGCAAGTACGCTATGAAAATACTGCTCCCTTAATGAATTAAATCGCATTACTAACGAGATACTCTTTATAATTATTTAATGCCATTTCTTAATTATCTTTATCTTTTTTATGGCCCACCAGCGTCCGAGAGTAACGTCTATGAATATTGGGAGCTCCACTTAAATTCGATTCTAGGCGAACGGACTGGCTGCGTGGATGTTTTCGTAGTTTAATACACGTGTGAGTAGATACGAACAAGTTTCCCTTTGAATATTTCCCACAAAGGCATCCCTCTACTTAGACAGATAGCCGTCGCTTGCTCCGCCGTAAGCGAATAAACCAAACTTATGCTTATTTCTGCTCTTTCTTATGTAATCAATCATTTCATAAAACAAATCCACACACACAACGTAGTGGATCATAGGTCTACCAATAAACAAAGTTGTCAGATTTACTATTTAAATTAACCATTATTAGAATTTCAGCCTTTACTATAACTTTTCCTTTTCGGTTCCTTATCAGAATATAAATGAGTTGGACAGTATTTAAGCTTAGGTTTTTTGATTGTAACACAGAGCGTGTTTCTGCTTAACAAACTTATCAGTTTCTGCCAGCTCTGATAAGTTTGTTATTATTCGGCTGAGCATTCTGCTGCTGACGTTTAAATTTTTACAGCGGTTAGAGGTTTTGAGCTAATTTTAGATTTCAAATTAAATTATGTAGTCTTTGACTATTAGTCTGGTTTTAAATTTGAATGATGACCTTTATTTTAGCTGCATCGCTTCACGTTGTGGTTAATTCTGTTAGCACGAGAAAGTGCATTTAGGTTTATACTTTGTGTTTAAATAAAAAGGGTATTTTAAACCTTTCCGAGACTTTGTAGTGCATTCAGACACAGCAAAAATTCTCTTACGTCTATTAGGTTTAGAACTACTTAGCAGTACGAATTTAAGGAAAAACCTACAAGGTTACCAATGAAGATAATGTTTCTTAAAGTTTTCATATGTCCAATGTATTTTGCTTATATTCTGTGCACTTTGAGCGTATCTGATCACGTAAAAATATCAAAACCTTTGGTATGCAGAGACAATTTAGTTTCAAAACCATTAAGTTCATACACAGGAATTTCAATGTTTCCAAAAACGTTATAGTTGAAACGATTGCTTATATATGCTATATATACGGTTAATTTAATGATGATATTAAATTCTCACATAATTGAATTAAATTAAGTAAATAAAATTTAGTTAATTTAATTAGTAATTCAATAAATTTAATAATCGTTTGTTCTATTTAATCCGTTAACTATTATACCCTGCATATTTGTGGCATTTCTTACTATTTACTTATCTGAATTGCAATGTGTAAGAAACATAAAAAAATTCTTCTATTAAACTGAGCAAGAGATATTACCTAACCTCCAATTAAAGTTTCTTAATTGCTATTTAATCAATTATGTAATTCTTATTTCTTAAATGCATCTCTCTAGAAATTATCAATAGTAACTTTCACCAAAAAATTCTAAACACTAAACATTAAGAAACATTCATTAATGACAAAACTTATTCTAACTCAGGCCATTCAAGATCATTTCACTTGTGTTAATATTCAAATCACAATCTACAAAATGTAATTCCTTACTGCTTAAATAAATATTACAAAACGACATTATTAGTATTATTTCAATTGCTAATATCCTTACTATTATTAGTTCAATTGCCAACTTTTCTCAATTACAGTACTGTCAATAACAACATCAGTTACTACCATTTGGTTTAATTATATATGTAGATAATCAATATATTTTGATTTTAATAGTTATAAATTCGGTTTAATTTTATAAATATATTCTATACACAGTGTAGCGTAAATGTTGCGACAAACTTCTAGGTGAGGTAGAGCACATCATAAGGATTAAGAATTGCATAGGAACCTATACCCGGAAATGTCAGGGGTAAGTGGTAGCAGAGGTAGAAGATGGGAAAAGAAGCAAGGGTGATTAATTTGAAACATTTATTGGACATCAATGCAAGCGGTGTACGGCAGCTTGAATGTTACAACACATGCTCGAAGCGTGCACCATCAGACGCCAAACATGCCTGACACCAACGGACCATTTGAATGCCGCGAATTATTTGATCTTTCTGGAGTAGGTTGTTCCCGGTTTGCTTGATGATGCTTCACCAAATGTGAGACGCAACATCTGATTCCAACATGATGGGATCCCTGCTCATTTTGGCCTGGATGTTCGTAGCTATTTGAACAGATCATTCCCGTATCGATGGACTGGGCGTGGGGGACCAGTTCCCTGGCCCCCACGCTCACCAGATTTATCTAGCCTTCATTTCTTTTTATGGGAAGCCATAAAAGTGTCGTGTATTACGATCCTGCTGTGTCTGAATTGGATCTCTTGGCAAGATTGACACTGCTGTTGAATTAAATTTGATGGTTTAAGTGCGAAGAACATCATATTTAATAAGTAAAACGTTAAAAACGCACCTTGGGCGTATAAAATCTGAAATCTTTCAGATTTCTTTCTTTTTTTTTTTTTTTTTTTACTTTCTTTGTTATTTCTTTTTATATAGTTTTCCGGTTTTCCTCAGTTTGGAAACATTTCTGGATTAATTTTTATTTTAAATTCTTACTCATTTCATTAATTTGTTCTAAATAAATTTGTTTCCTCAGAATTTTGACTTGAAATATTTTTGCTTTTATTTTATAATTTATTTTGATTTGTAAGATATTTTTACGGTTCTGTTTTCTTTAGTTCGAAATTTAATATTCAGCAAATTGTGTGATTTACGCAATGGTTATTTTGGTTTCTTACTCGAGAATTTCTTTTATGATCTTTCGATAACTGTTTATTATTTTCAGGGTAACGTCGGAGGTATTTATATCTCAGTATTTAATTAAAATTTATAATTTTACTTTATTACATTTTTAAAATACTGTAATTTAATAATTTTAACTAAATGAATTTTTCTATTATTAATTTATCTCGATTATTATTTCAAGAATTTACAATCATCTAGATATCATTCAGAAACGTGGAATAAGTCCTGTTCAAAATTCTTCGGCTGCTCCTTAAAAACTCGTATTATTAAAGATTTCTTTTACGCAAGCCTAATTTACTTCTTTTCATGCATCTCTATATACTTGTATTTATAGGCATAAATGATTTAGTAATAAAATATGATTTTTATATTCACATGTTTCAAACTGGAGCCACTGTTTGTGTTTACTGACTGACTCTAAATAGTAATACAATATTTTGAAAAGTTTTAAAGAGTCGAAATCACATGCTGCATAAATGCCTTTAAAATACGACTTCTGTTTCAGAGTGATAGGACCTATGTCTAACCTACCAGAATTTGCCGAAGATTTTGGGTGCTCTCCAGATTCATCAATGGTTAGAGAAAACAAATGCGAAGTTTGGAAGAAAATTAAACCGAAATTTTCAAATTTGAAGAATAGATTTTATTAGTATATTACTATTATTTTGCTGGTATTGTTTAAGCAAACGTTGCATATATATTGCAAGCTAAATTTTAAATGTTCTACAATTGCAAGAAAATCTTTTATTTAAATAAAGTTTTAATAAAATTCTTATGACTGGTTTTTGTATCTAAATCTAAGCATTAAAAAATAAATTGTTTCTGTTATACAAGTGCATATATTACCACTTGTAATGCAGGATGCCCCAAAAGTCCATTAAGTCAGTGTGTCGCGTGAGAGGTAGTCTGATACGTTACAGAATTGCTTGATCCCTAGTCTTGTTGATAAACACCTTTTGGAAGGTATAACTTTTATGCAGGATTTTAATGTAGATTACTAATGATTAAAGACATCTCAATATTTATCTTGCGTATCTTACTACGTATATCCTCCTCGGGAAAAGCATATTGTGTGAGGAAGAGAAATTTTTTGTGAATTTTGCAATAGATATACAGGCTGACTCAAAGGTCCTTTAACATTTGAAAATTCAATAATTCACGGAATAATGTAGGTAGAGAGGTGAAAACTTATACAGATGCTTGAAATGATATGGGGTTTTATTGAAAGCAAACAAACAATGCAAAAAAAAGACCAACATATGGCGCTGTGTAGCAAAATGGCAGTGACGCTGCATGATAATCGTGTATGAAATGAGTTGTAGGAGAGAGGGATTCAGTCCCTTCATAACAGTGTCACTTTTCTATTCTCTCCTCCGGATGTTGTTTACGGTGTGATGTGGATTTATCACATCAATCGTGATCGGACTCTTTTTCTTCGAGGAAATTCTTGGTTCTGCTATTCAAACTGTGTGATGCGTACGAGGTAATCTGATACCTTACAGCAGTGATTCTCAACTTTTTTTTTTTTTTTTTTCTTGTCGCGGCACACTTTTAACGGTTTCAAAATTTGGCGTCACACAAAGAAAAAGATGAGTTTAAGAGCTGTTACTTTCCTATAATACACTATGTTACTTACCTATAATATACTATGTTATATATTATACTAGTTTATGATAATAATTTAGAATATAAAATAAAATAATATGTACTACAAAAGCAGTAGTACGTTTATTAAGGTATTAACTACAAGTTAATAATAAGAATACTTTTAATGAGAAATTGCAGCTTGATGTTTCTAACAATTTTATTTATATTTGGTTGTAAAAATGACAATGCTACTCTCATAGCGTCTTCTACATTTAACAGTCTCGATCTTTTTTTCGTTTTTATGTTGGTTAATACTGAAAATCCGAATTCACACAAATAAGATGGAGAAAACTGTTATAATTTTTTTAAAGCTTTCTTGGTCATCATGGGGTAATCGCATCTAATATTACTCCAAAATGAATTAATTGATTCTTCCGAATATTTTAAAATTAAAATTCAATTATTAGAAAGCGAAATTAGTTCTTCCTCATAGTTCTTCCTCAAAGTTAATTCAAATACAGAAGTCTTCGGCACCAAACGCGGCTTGGATACCACAATTGGCGCGCTTATTAATGTCTTAAAAAGAATTTCGCCAATTTCCATGTGTACCGTATACCAGAATTAAACCCATTATAATTTTTACTGTACATTTCTAAAATTTGGCGTGCCGCGGCACAGTGGTTGAGAATCACTGCCTTACAGAATCGCATCATCCCCAGTCTGGTTAATAAACACCTGTTGGAACATCCTTTTATGCAGGATGATGCTCCACCCCATTACGCTGCACGTGTGAAAGATATCTTGCACAGATCGTTTGGTGCGGATCGCGTGCTGAGCAGTCATTTCCGTCATGTTTGACTCTCAGGTCCCCAGATCTCAATTTATATGATTATTGGTTGTGGGATTACCTGAAATCTCCAATCTACCGCGGTCACCCGACCTCATTAGGGATGTTAAAAGACAAAATCCGAAGGCAAGTTTTCACCATACCTACAGGTATGCTGTACAGTGCTGTTCACAACATTGTCTTTCGATTACAGGCATTATTGATGAATGACGTCGACAGGTTGAACATTTGTTAAAAAGAATATATTCTTTGCTAAAAATCAGTTGTTACGCTAATTATTGCTTTTGTTATCATATGAAGCGCCACCTGTTGGCCGTTTTAAGTACGTGTTTTGCTTTCAATAAAACCTCATGACATTTCAAGCATGTGTGTCAGTTTCTACCTCTCTACCTACATTATTCGGTGAATTATTGTATTTTCAAATGTTAATCGACTTTGGGGTCACCCTGTACATAATTGAAAGAGAAAATATCTCTTTATGCATTGAACCTCACTGTTATGTAAAACGTCATCGCGCTGTTAAGAGAATTTCGCATTTTAACACTTTTATTTCAATCCCTCTTAGCGCAGTAGCAATGTGGTCTGTCTTCTTGTGCACTGAAATTATTTAAGATACATAAGATGTCTCTCAACATTGCAGGATAATTAAATTAAATTTCAAATAATGATATCCATTGCTAAAATCAAGGTTTACTTTGTAAACATTTTCCATTATATATTCAAGTGTTAAATGGTGTTGATTGTATGGAAGTAAACATTCGTAATAATTCATCTCTTTAAAACAATTATCGGGAAACAAAGATTTTGAAAAAAAATTAATTCTTGAAATTATGTATTTCTAACGTAAGGGTGCATGAGGTACGGAATTTAATTATACGGAATGAAATTATCCTTCAGCAAATACTAATTATTTATTCTTCTGTATCTGCCGAAGTATTGACACGTTTAGATGATTCTATACAACCTTGCTATGATTTTTGACAATTCACCTGCGGCGGTTAAGGAGAAAATAAAAAAAAAAAAAAAAAAAAAAAAAAAAAAATTAGAGAAGCTTCTTTCCCTTTTTATAAAGTCTATTTAAGCTGTCTAAACACAAAGCATAGTGCAAAATAAAGTAATAGTTTTAAATATACAAAAAGTTTCTTTTAGTAAAAATAGTTTAGAGTCACTGAATATTATACATCGAGTATTATAATATTAAAGTATTGTACATTCATGAGAATATACACGTTAAAGGCATTCTGAAGGTGGAGAAAGTACTTAAGTAAAAAATGCTTGTATCCACCTTATAATATTGCTTGCTGTATCTGGCATTTGCAATCCAGATTTTGAAATTGTTTCTTTAATTCCGTGTAAGACAACTTTCGATTTTACACTCAGATAACTGTCAGATCTTCTTGACACGCAGGATGTTTAGAATCTATTGCAAAAGATTTCATGCCTGGCAGAAGGAATTTCTTTCTAAAACTAAACAGTATGTCGTCGAATTATTGACATTTCAAATTATATTGCCATCAATCTGCACTGTCCAGTTCGAGATTTCAAGTATTTCTCTTGTAGTGTTGTGATGGCCCCAACTTGTCAGCAACTGTGGTAGTGACTGCTATGGAACTGTAAAGTTACACAAACACGTAAGAAGGGTTTTAAAGCCCTTTTTATTCCACTTTAGAAATAACAGCTGCGTTCACTTGACGCTCACAAACTACGCCGACCCGGCGGTTTAACAAAAACAGAAATGTAAAACTAAAAATTAATGACAGGATGAGTAAAAAACTAGATCACTACCTACGAGGCTCTGAAATCGTAACTAACTTAACCGCGTTCTAAAATACAGCTGAGATTCAGCAAGCTTACTGATTAAGCAGTTGAAAGATTCAGCGAACTGCCGAGATAGGCACACAGGCCGAAACGCGCGGTTCTTAAATTTCTACCTAGCAACCTTCACGTTCGCGATTCAAGAAGCACATATACAATCTCGTTTCCCTTGTATTTAAACTCAACTTCTGCTAAAATTTGAATATACTGCGCGTTCTACTACAATTTACATACTCTGGCATTGGCAATTCTAAAGAAAGTAAAGGCTTGACAGGAAAGATAGCTTAAAATAAATGTTAGTTAAAATAAATATAAACCCTACACTCTTTAGAATATGACAAAAGTACAGACATTTTGAACATTATTGGTGAAACAATGAATCATTTCAAGTAAGCGAATAATTCTTAAACCTGATAAGTCGTAACGACATTACTAAAGACGAAGACATTTTTCAGGCTGTCGAAACCATTTAGAAGAAAACAATTTGCGATTAGCAATTCTTTCCGGAGCATCAACAGATGGCGTAGAATCTATGATTGGTAAAGGTAACGCAGCTGTATAATTACTAATAAATAAATTAGACTCAAACAAACAACTTTAACCGAAGATTTAATTATTAACCATTGTATGATTCTTCAACAAAAACTGTGCACTCAAGTATTATCGATGAATCATATTATAGGTGTAGTCATAAAAACAGTAAATTTTATTTGATCACATGAATTTTCCCATCGGCAATTTAAGAAATTTCTATTAGAATTAGATGATTAATATAATGATGTTATATATTTCAATTATGTCAAGTGATTATATCGAGGAAAATATTTACAATATTTTTTTTTATTTACGCCAAGATATTAATTTACTTTTGAATGAGAGGCAAAAACCAGTGACAGAATTAGGTAATGATGAATGGTTGTGAGATTTACGCTTTATATTGGAAATAGTATAAAAATTTAATCAATTAAGATTTTTATCTTTACGAAGGGAAATACAATTTAATAATCGATGTTTTAACTAGATAAAGCATTTGTTTTTGTATGAACGTGTTCAATTTGAATTGTAAATAGCATTCAACATTTTCCATTAGTGGAAGAATTTTAAAATTTAGAATCCGATAATGATTCTAAATGCGCCAAAGAAATAATAAAATTTATAACTACTTTTAAAAATCGATTTGGCAATATAGACAAATACGATTAAGTATTTGAAATATATTTAAGTACCTTCTACGCTGATACCGAAAGGGCTCCAAAAAAATGCTCCAAGGGAAATAATTGATTTACAGTGCAATGATGAGTTGAAATGCATTTTTCAAGCATCAGAATCAAATACTGATTTTTAAACGACTTGAAAAACAAAGAAATTATTTTTTCAATTGGCGAAATCCATCACAAAACGTTTTGAGTGTTTTTGAACCAATTTACGTCTGAAGATCTTTTATTTCCCCAAAAAATTACATTTACGAAAAAAAATCATGGGTATCTGTATTTAACGAAAACTTGCAATATCAATTATGATGTGCAAGTACAAACATTAAGATCGATTTGAAAGAGCCAAGTGAAATAAAATAAAAGCAAATATCGTATTGATAGCAAATATCATATTATTCGATAGTTTTATTGATTATTATTGTTATAATTATTTATATATGTTACCGTTAAAGTATGAAATCCGTTATCTTATAGAATACTTAGTTGTTATTCCATGAAATAACTGATCGTGTCCGTTAAAGTGTAAAAGTCTCTTGTATTTCAGGGCCCACCAGCGGCCGAGCGGTGAAGTCGCTGAACACTGGTAGTTCGGTCCATAGTTCGAATCCCGCAAACGGGCTGGCTGCATGGGTGTTTTCCTGTTTTTACCCATGTGTAACGTGTATACGAGTCAGTTTCCCTTAGAGAGTCCTCCACGAAGGCATCCTCCCCCCTTTGGCAGATAGCCATAGTGTGCTTTGCCATAATTAAATATACCACCACTCTTGTATTTCATGGTTTAACTAGTTATTTCATAGAATAACGATCTGCAGCCCGTTTGAGTGTAAAATAATCTATATCATATATCTCGCTTTTTAGTATAAGGTACACTTACATTTCGTTCAACAATATGGAAAGTAGCGGGGAAAAAAACGTTGATTTCGAAGTCAAATAAAAATAATTTTTGAAGAACGGCAAAAATACCAAAGCATAAAACAACGAGTAGACTTTTTCGCCATACTCTCAAAATGTCAACGACAAATACATTTACCTTCCACCCCTACTGCATTTATGAACTATTCCAGGCCATAGGGAGAGAACTTGTTTAGCGTGTTGTCGCCAGTTAATTCCGGTTAATTGATTGCTTGCACGTACAGTGCCGGCTGCTGTTCGTCAAATACTGTTTCCACGTATCAGGTATTGAGATACATTTATTTTTTTAAGTTTTATAATTTAGTCATTTGTTATTACGTTAATTTAGTTTGCTTACGTTAAAGTGCAATTATTTTTAAGACCTTAAATTGCCTTGAACAATGAATACTTTAAGTGATAACGAAAAAAAAAAAAAAAGCTGCAATGAAAGAAAAGTTTGAATCTTTACTAAATAAGCGTGATGTCAAAGAGAACAGTTCTTTGCTCACCCGTGAAAAATTTAAGTTTGATAGCTGATGTAAAGAAATCTAAAATATCAGATAAAAAAGTGCCACGTGATTATTGGTTACTTCAACATTACGATATCCTTGAAGTTCAAGGAGTATAAAAATTAATAGTCCCAGTAACAAATGCAACACCAGATGTAATGTTTTATTGCTCAAGTGATTCTTAGTTTGACATTTTGTACGAAACTCATTTATCTATTGGGCACGGTGGTAGAGACCGAATGATAAAAGACAGTTCCTTGCTCGTTAATCGTCGTTACAAAAATATACTACGCAAAATGATATTAAGATTTTCCTGAATTTTTGTGAATCTTGTCAACAAAAACGCAAAGCGGTCAGAAAAGGTGGTGTTGTTAAGCCCATGATTTTTTCACATATGAATTCAAGATGTCAGGTTGACCTCATAGATTTTCCATCAGAACCTGATGGAAACTATAAATTTATTTTATTTTATCAAGATCACCTTACAAAGTTTGTGGTTTTAAGACCTCTTCAAACAAAGAGAGCAAAAGAAGTTGCAGGACAGTTGCTAGATATATTCCTGTTGTTTGGAGCCCCATGTATATTGCAGTCGGACAATGGAAGAGAATTTTGTAACAATCTTATTGATGACTTAAAAGTAACTTGGCCAGAGCTTAAGATCGTGCATGGTAAACCAAGACATAACCAAAGCCAAGGCAGTGTTGAGACAGCCAATCAGGACATAGAAAATATATTGACGACTTGGATGCAAGACAACCAGTCAACTTCGTGGAGTAACGGGTTAAAATTTATCCAGTTTATGAAGAACAGAGCGTTCCATTCTGGTATTAAAAGGTCCCCCTACAAGGCTATGTTTGGTTGCGCAGCTAGAGTTGGACTGTCAACAACTGCCATTCCGAAGGAAGCACTTAATTCGTTGGCCGACGAAGATAAATTACAAAATACTTTGACTGCAATGAATGTTTCTTCTCAACCTGATAATGAAAAAGTAGTTGAACAAACAGTATTAAATAATCCCATTACGAAAGTATGTGTTGTATGTTTAAAAGAATGCAGTGAAGATATAGTTTGCTTCAAATGTATGGAGCCTGTCCATATATCATGTTCGGAAGATTATGTTTCAGAAGATGAAGTTGAGCAGAAAATCTGCAAATTGTGTTTTAATGAACTTAATGTTCAAAGAGAAAGAGAAAAGTCTAAAAAATGTTTAGAAATTCAAACGAAAAAGATTAAATTAATGTCGGCTAAATCTCATTGTGAAGCATCTGTGTGGTTTACCGTCCGTATCCCAGTGCCTGAAGTTGACAGAGGAAAAGGTGATGCTAAAACTATTTTAGCTATCATCATAAAAGTAACCTAAGAAGGATTTTTCCAATTGGGCACAAGAAACGGCCGCATAAAACAATTATGTTCCCGATCCCAGTTCAGTGTTTGCGAACAAAAATGAATTAAAATCAAAGAATCGGTTGCTACAGCTCAAAGTTTAGGTACTGGTCAGGGATTTAAAAAATGTTTGTGTAAAACCCAGTGTGTCAACAAAAATTTTTTTTTGTTTTAGAAATAATGTTCTTTGTAATTCCAAGTGTCGTTTTAGTAATCCTTGCTGTAACAAATGATTTTATGGTACGTTTTTGTAAATACCATTTATACACTGCATGAATTAGATAAATTGTTTATTTTACACTTTAACTGTCTCTCATTAGTTAATTTATAGAATACCTAGAATAACTATTTAAAGTGTCAAATTATTATCATATTACATACTTTAACTGACACGATCGGTTATTTCATGGAATAACTAGGTATTCTATGAAATAATTGCATTATATACTTTAACGGTAACGTATACATTAGTAAATGTTTAACTGGTCTTTCGTTAATTTGAGAGTTCTTTTATTAAGTTAATAGAAACTATAATATTATGGCAGCCTGTTATCTCATAAGTCATTAGGCTGCACCCTGTCCAGTATTTTTCCACAAGACAATTAAAATGAGATAATGCAGAGCATTCGTCAACGAAAAAGTCATACCTTGTCTAGTTCAACAAAAAAAATCTATACACAAAAGAATCGACAGTATTAAAGCGAAATAAATGAAATAAAGGATGTAAATGGGAATAGTCGTATCCACTAAAACGATCCACCATAGTTTCTCAAGAAGCATCATAAAAGGGATGAGAATTGCTGCTGAGGACACTCCAGGATTTCGTACAGGAAGAGTGAGCAGGCACTGTATCACTGTATGAAAGGACTGTCTAAAGATTCTTTTAATCTCCAATTTTTGAAGAATGAAAGGGCAAATTTTTGTTTGATTGAGTTAAACTGCAACTTTTTTTTTTTTTTTCCATAAAGGTCCGCTTTCTCATTTTCTTCAATATCACAGTGAGAGGGTATCCATTGGGAAGACACTTTACATTGAATTCTCTTAAATAGAAATCTACACTACTGGGTACGAGGGGTTTTATTCTCCTGATTAAATAATAAACCCTGAAGAGCAGATGTTGAATCGGAGAGGATCACAGCCATCTCAAAAGAATTCTGACGAATGGAAAGTTGCTGAAGAGTTACAAAAGTTACGGGGTTAGCAGTCCTCCTCACAGTGTACTCTAGGTAACGCAAAATTTGTTACAACTTTCTCCGGCTCTAATTTTTCTCTAATGTGAATTATTTTATTAAGAAATAGCTTCGCTTACTTAAGTTTTCATTTAGGAGAGACGTCTGTAATATGAAGCTACATCCCTGAACTCCCGAGCTGGCATCATCTGTTCTAGCTTCATGCTTTCTGGACAAGTCAAGTTTTCCACCCACACCACTTAGTGACGCAGAGTTTTCGTCGGACCTTTTTTGTTCTCTTGGCAAAAGATAGAAGAAAGTCGCCTTAAGACACGAACATACGCAAGGTGAAATAAAATTCGACATGTGTTTTTAGTAGCAGCTTTGGACACCATGACATGCATCTCCAAAGTTCCATGATTGTTTTAACCTATGTTGCGGTGATATATTATAATATTCAAGAACAGTGTTATAATTGAGTGGATATTTGGATATGCTGCTTCGAGATGCTATAATTGTGGGGATATAGAATGTGCAGGAAGAGTGTAACCATAAGTAGCTGTTTGGATATACATCTCGGAGGCCCTATGACTAATTGACCCTTTTATTGTAAGGGTGTTTAATATTCAAGAAGTGAGTAACATGGAGTAGATATTTAGCCAAATAGTCATAAGAACAGATATATTTGTAATAGCAATGCGATGATAAATTGGAAAAGTAAAGCATAGATAAAGGTAACTCGGTCATTGTCTAGACGTGAAACATGGGATAGCGAAGAGGTGGTTAGCAATTCAAAATTAAAGTTGAACTTTAATTTAAAAAACAGAATTAAATGTAAAAAAAAAAATCTTTTTTTATCTGATGAAAGATTTTTAAAAAGTAAAAATATAATACCTTAATAATTACTGATTATAAAGTACTTCTGTATGTATATTTGCGAGTGTGAATGTTGTTGTTGTTGTGACTTATCTCACTTGTCTGACAGTAACATCAAAACAAGCCCACGAAATTCATTGTGGTAAGGAGAGAAAGACTGCGCATGTCGTTGGCTAGAGCCTTGAGCACCATATAGCTTACAGTACAACTTCGCTTACGAGTATTAACGCAGTTTTCGAGTATGTATGTAGTTTTCGAGAGCCCAATGGCTTTTTATTACAATAATGGGCTTGACCGAACACTGTGATATATCTGTCCAAACTATGACCAACACTCTGTAGTCAATCTAGATCAAAAGCTTTGTGAGTATTCTACATACGTAAACCAGTAGGTCCTATGTCCAAAACAATTTGAAAATTCACTCAGTACCACTCAGCCTAAACTTTATGAATCTATTCTCATTTCATTAAATTATGGTTCACAGATTATAAATCCCTGTTCACATAACTGTTTTCTTCTCTCCTTTCATACTGACACAGTTTCAAAGCGTATTATCCAAATCAGCAGTTACTCCCTGCTTGAAGAATTGCCTTCTGTGTGTTTTTACTTTGGCAGATTTGAATTAAAACATGTTAATCATTTCAGCAGCAATTTTTGCAGCTCTCCGCATTTTTCGTCACATTCTTCTGACGTTTTGTTCTTCTCACTATACTAAGGTTTATCAAATGATATTTTTCTAGAGCGATATTGGGTCATAACCCTGGATACGGTACTTAGTAATGCATCAAATAAATCTGTTACATTTTTCCCGGAAACACTCGCCATCAGGGTTCAAATTTTATCATCTTTGCTATTTTGTAAGTTCCTTCATAATTCACTTATAACTGTACAGCCCATATCTTGAGCACACATTTGAGCAGCTAACTCCCACAACTTTTGAGAGATGTTGTATTATTCTTAAGCAGCTAGGGCTTTCTGTATTTTAACGAATTTTTGCGATAGTAGAAATATGCACAACTAGGGCACTTACATGTGCATTTGCACGTAAAGAGTGAAGTGTGATAACATTGTACAGCATACGTAAACTGGGAAAGTACCAAATTGCTGGAAATAAAAATAAACGGGATTAAAAGAAAGTGCTAAATTGCTGGAAATAAAATTTAATGTGATTTAAAAAATAATGAAAATTTTATTCCTTTACTGAATTATTAAAATGAGTGAAGAAATCAACTTCTCGCAGGTGTTACAAACAGTTTGCCCCAATAATACTAAAATCTGTCAATAATCATTCCCATTTGTACGTGATTTTGTTTAAATGACTTTGTTACTCACCTCGGACCCTACCCCATTTTTTTCTTTATTTGGTAGTTTAGTCAGCAGTTAATATCTTAGACAAAATCAACTTAGGCAAACAATGCCACATTTATTCCGCGATTTGCAAAACTCGGTTTTACATTTTTAGTGTTGTCCCTTTGCCCCAAAAAATGTATTATTTTTCTTTAAATACTGTAATTAATTAACGGGAAAATCCCGCAATGAGAACTTAAATGTGAATATTTAAAAAGAAATATTTATTGAACATTTTTACTTCCTTGTACGAAATAAAAAGGAAGTATTGTAATCGCGAAAAGTTTCAGACAGCATATTTCAACGAAAATATCCATTTTGACCGCTATCGGATGCAATTTAACGATGTTTCTGCGTGATATCTGTACGTAAGGACAGAATAAAGTACTCTTTTCCTTCAAAAAAATTATAAAACTGCTTTAAAATGAATTCTGAAGAGAATTTTTCGTGGCGTCTGTACGAACGTACGCGCATACGTACTTATCTCGCATAACTCAAAAACGAGTAGCCTCAGAACCAAAGAATATGTATTGTAGATTCATTGTCATCGATTTTCTTTGTCAGAACGTTGAAATTTTGTATATAGGACTGCTATAACATGTAGATGTGCACCTCGTATTTTGGTTGCAATCGGCCGCACCAAACCTATACAAATATATTTATATATATATCCACTTTGTTACCCATCTCAGTGATCTCAGTTTCTTTACTCTTATATGTTTGTAAATTGTACATTTTTTGCTTTAAAAATGATTGAATTATGTTGTTTTTATCTTCCGGTTGAGGATTATATGCCTTTAGTAAATCTGTGTGCAATATTTTTTGAATTATTAGCAATTTTAAAGTTGTTTAATTGCCGCTAAGCCTTTTTTTAATGGCGGCCAGTGATGTTTACATTTGAAACAGGAGACTAGTGGATTTGTTGCCAATCTAGAGAAACTTAGCTCCGCAACAACAAAGATAACGAATACATTTATTATTGCCAATTAAATCATGCTTAATTCTTTCTGGAATTTTTTCGAGGAAAGAAGTGTTTGAAATTTACTTCGTAATTTTTAATATAGATATTTTGTATTTTTATGTACTTTTGCCTTCTCGCGAAGTGAGAACTGAATTAATTAAATGAGAAATACTCAATCGTCTGTGAAAAACTGTTTCTTTTTTGTTTTGTTTGCTTAATTTCTTTTATACATCATTCTAGCTTTACTATAGTATTTGAATAGAACATGTGGCAACGATTAGATAATTCTATTCTTTAAATGATATAAATTTTGTGCATTATGAGTTATAATATGAACGAAATATATAAGTTAACTGTTATATAATTATTGGATTATATAACAGTTAACTTAGTTTCTGTTATATAATTATTATATAAGTTAACTGTTATATAATTATTAATACTATTAAGTGAATCTAGCGCCAGAGTGTCGCTATGGTAAACAAATACTAGAGTGAATTTTAAAGAATGCTTTTATTCGCTTGTGGTTTATGCGCTGTTGGCGAAGTAGGTTTAATTCAATCCAATATGTTTAAATGAAATGCAAGAAAAAATGCGTATAATTTAATATTCCAATACAAGGAAGTCATGTGGTGTACACATCAGATTTTTTTAATTATAAACATGACTCTAAACGAGATTCATTATAATTAACATAAAATTCATAGTAACATGACTGTGATGGATTCAGCAATAATTTTTCGTGTGAAAGTTTCCCATTTTTTTTTTAATCTCACACTACGGGCTAGAGCGTTTAACAACATACATTTCACTATATAATTTTACGCTAGCCTCGTATAGATGGCGACACCATGAAAAGTCAAGGTAACAGTTTAAATAGTGTCGTCATCTGGCGATAACTAAATCATAAACGCATTTTGTAACAGACAGCAGTTTGAAATTGACCA